GATTCTCTCTCAAAGAGATTGCACAACTGGTGAAGAACATTCCAAGTCAACTACCACATTGGCTAGGAAATAGTTGTGGCAAAGATCTCCTGTGTTCCAGTTAATGACTTGGGGGTGGATGAGGAGAATTGACATTGGTGAGACACTGGAGAGATGCCTGGCCCCAGCCAGACCTAACCACTGAAGTTTGTTTACTGCAGAAAGTGTAACAGGTTACAGTGAAACATATCTTAAAAAGCCAGTATGTGCAAGCAAAGGAAGTTGGCAGACATTCATCTATTGCTTTCTGCTTCCAAGATAATCTATGGAAGGTACATTCTGGAATGGACAATGATATATACATATACATTTAAATATATATATACACACACACACACCACTGTAATGTTCTTGCAGAAAACCCCATCTCAACATTGGGTAATTTAGAAGCCAGAGCAGATGAGTTAAATTCTTTTCATTACCCCTGACTTGATGCAGATTTAGGGAAGTAAGTATAACCTGTGAAGCAAAATAGGCTGTCAGATGGGTAAGGAAATAAAAGAAGCACTTACCTGGTAAAAACAGTAAACAGACTGGAGAGACACAATATTCTGAAGAAAATTAAACTATCAGGTGGTGAATATAATGGGAGACATAAGTGTTAGGCATAGTCCACATTCTAGTCTGGAGTGTCTCAACCAAGGGTCTTCAAAAGTGTGAGGCCAGAGAGCAAGTCAAGTGGCAGAATTTGATGTGATGAGATATGATACAGGGAGGAATAGATGATTTGGCACACATAGAGGACAAGATATCACTGGAAGTAGAAGAGTCCCATGGCAAGAATAAATTATTGTGGTAACCCCAAAATAGAACTATGCATGCCAATTAACACCTGACTGCCCAAATAGAGTACAAAAGACAATCAAGGTAAGTTAGGTCATTGAAGGACTAGATTCATGTAAAAGACATGAAGAAAAAATGTACAAATAGCTCAAAACTTAGTGAAAAAAGGAGAGGTCAGGGATTAAAATCAAGGAAGATCTGGGAAACATCCAATGCATAAAGAACATAACTGCAATGAACATTAGCAAGATGGAGAAGGAAATAAAGTTATAAGAGAGGGATGGTATAACAAGCAATTGGCAAAGGGTTCAAACAGGGCCCTGGGTATGAGTGTGTAGAACAACATTAATATTCCAGTCAAGCAAGGATCTAAACAAGAGGATGATGAATTAGGAAGAACCAGAACAAAATGGAATGAACAGGGGAGGATAAGACAGAACCACAGTGAAAATGTTGAAAGGTAATTGACAAGGCTACCTAATAGCCTGCAATGGTAGAAACTGTCAATCTTTGGTTAAACAACCAGGTAAAGAAGGCTTAAACACAAGCAACAGTAGGGTGACTTGGTGGTAGACTGTAGCTAATGGACATGCAATGAAAAACACATCACTTTTGTTGATAGACAAGGAAAGTAGAACAGTGAAACAAATAGAATAATAGAAGGGCTGTGTGGTCAAAGAAACCTGATATATCTCATACATGAAGACAAAAGGAAAAACTCTCAGGCATAGAGAGACATACAAGGTTGGAGCGAGAGTGACAAAGATGTAGACAGAGGAAGTGCTCTGGAAGCCAGTCAGTGAAGATGAGGAAATCAAAAAGATGCTACCAAAAGAACCAAACAAGAAGTCGTGAATCAATGCTAAGACATGTAAAAGAAGACAAAAAGGAAGGTACACATACAGAAACAGATGAGACCAGTCCTGGCTGAAGGCATCCACAGCCAGAACCAGTAGGTGAGGCACCAGTGACCAGAAGAGAAGTGGCAAATCCATTGATCACTAGTTTTATCAACAGGGGACACATCCAACAAAATACCTGATAAAAGAGTGACCACTTCAAAAGAACAGTCCTGTTTGGACAAAAGAGTCAATCCACCAGGACATGACACATAGTCAGACAAACCTGTTGTCAGTTAGCCCAAAACAGAGAGGTAAGAATATCATTTCAAAATATCAAATAGTTATGCCAAATTATTGTATTTTTATCTTCTTTAACTGCAGATGTTTAACTGCTATATATAGCATAGCAACCAGCCTGAATTACTATACTTTCCATGCTACTACAGCCAACTATTGGTCAGACAACCCACTAAGTCAGATAAACACAAAATAAATCAGACCAAATCTAGCAAAATGATATGTGTTACCTGTTGTGTTACCTCCCTTAATGCACTCCAAGATGACTAGAACAGACTTATCCTGGTAAAGGGCATAATCTTGCTCCATGACACAAGTTCACATAAACTAACCTGAGTTTCTACACCATTCAAAATGAAATTTAACCTGAGTGCTCATAAAGGATTTATTGCAAAGTCCTTTCATTATCGCTGAAATCATCAATCACTGTTCTTGGATCTTATCTGATAACCTCAGCTGTTTTAGCTATGTTGATCTGGTGAGTATCACACAGACATCTGCATAGAAATGAAGATACAATTCATAAAATCAATTAAGCCATTATTTCAAGGCACCACATCAATGTCTTGCTACCCAACATTGCTCAATAACTTTTTTCAGTGAAAAGTAGAACTATGTTTTATTAACCTATTGTTCAATCAACCAAATATCCTAACTGCACCATAATCTATTCCAAAATACACTACGAATATTCTACCATAAATCACCACTTGATACCTGGAAAGCAAACAATACCAGCTCCTTTCAATCAGTAACATGCCAATCAATTGACTGTCCAAACTGCTATTCAAGTAGTTAATTCCAAATATAATAATTAGGAGGCCAACATCAGCATCTTGGCCTGCCATCAAAGCAGTCCAATAGCTCTTCTTCTATCATTTCTTCCATATTACTCTCTGCAGGCAATCAGATATGCATTGTCAGTACTTTCACTCTCATCATGCAAGTCAAACTTGCAAAAGAAAGTGCTCTCATCTTTATAATCAACTTGTTTATCCTCTTCCTGGAGACACCAATTCTTCAGCAATCAATATATTTCAGATATTTATATTACAAACTTTATGTTTGCTTGTTTTGAAGTTAAGCACAAAGGTACACAATGGGCTATCTGTGCTTTGCCCACTACCACACGTATTGGAACCTGATTGATACACACAAACAAACCTAAGATAAATATTTATAAGGGATATTCTTCTTACTTTTAATGTATGCCTTCTATCATGACTTCTACTTAAACAATTTAAAAGCCAATCTATATTTTATCCTCTTTCCCTTTAACCATCTGGAGACGATTTGCTGAAGAAGTGAAACGTCTTGTTTTATTATTAATTTTCAGTTACCAATGATAAACTGGTGTTTTCTTCAAAAGTTAGAGACCTGGAAATTTTGTTGTGTCCAGTAAAATTTTATTTACTGCTAATACCAGAGTTTTGTCATATATATTTTTTTAAAAAGTGGAAATAATTCTCTACTCCATAAAGTTAGATAACAATATTTACCACTTGGACATGATCTCAGTGGCCTTTAGTACACTGCACAATGATATTAGAGAAAAGTCATTGCAGATCATGCAAGTGTTGAAGGTTTTTGACAGGGTTGTTTAATTGCTTCAGTGGGCAAAAAAATGTATGAAAAGAAAATTACAAAGATAAACACATTACGAAATACAGAACAAGTTAAAACTAGTTGAATATATAAATCACAACTTTTAGTAATTGTTTAAGTTTGTATAAAATCCACACCAAATCAGTATTTTAAAAAAAGTCTCTTTTCTGTTGATTCAGTGGGATTAGAAAAATTACAAACAGGTCAAGTACTTAATGAATTTCACTTATCTATCAGACAAGCTGATTTAAATATATTTTTCCTAACATCATTATCGATGTAGTGTCAAGTTCACTGTTGGGTGCAAGGTGTCTACTATGGCCAAGACCAGATCAAATTCACACTACACTAGTTTAAACTATCCAGGAAACCTACAGCATAGCTTGTCAACTTTCGTAGCTGTACTACAACAAAATTTTTGTCTGATTATCCTGTGTCACTACAGGATACATACAATCCCATTATCCAATACATAAACAACAGTTAAAGCAGGAGCTCAGTGTCTCATGTTGGTGGTCTCCTACAACATTCCTTCTTATTAAAGTAATAACATTTGTAAATGTATTTCCCATAGAGAAATATGAATGAAAATCACCAGGAAAACAAAAAAAGTGACTCATTCTAATATAACAGTAATACCTGCCTATAGTTTTAATAGATCTGTTTTTGTTGTTATATTTCAGAAGTCAATACTTTTAGAGTGTTTTTCTTACTTCTAGTTTGAGCTATTACCAATCTTTCATAAAAATGGCCCTGGGGTTTATCATTTAAAAGTTTTTGCCAATTTAACCTATCTTTGTCTTATCAATGATCTGAGGCTGTTGATAACCATTTAAGAAAGAACCATGTAAGAAGATAGAACTGTTATAAATTATTTTATACCAGCATATGATTGGTCAGCTATCAGAAGCAAAACCATTATTTTAGAGGATGAAAAATTGTATGACAGCTTAGTGCTTTCAAATCTGATGATGAGGAACTCACTTTGAGACTAATTAGGTTCAAAAACAGCTTAAATAGATAATGAAGAAAACTATAATACAAATTTAACTCACTAACAATTGTACAGCATTCTGATGTTATCAGGTGCCTCATGATGACAAAACCTTGTTAAAATGTTGTACATTTGTTACTATGTTAATTTTGTAATAAAGTTCTCTGTACTAAACTTTATTAAACTTTTCTAAACATTATTAGTTTATTGGTTTGTTTAATATTTCAAATATATATTTTTGTAAATGCTTCAGTGACAATATTTTAACAAGTTTGTAATGTTTCGTGCAGAAACAAAAGACATGTATTTTTATTATAAACTATATTTTAAAATATTAAATAGGATATAAAATTTGGTGGAGTGGATATTAGATTTTCCTATTCTCAGTTTGAGGAAAAGTCTACACAATAAGATATTATGCTTACAATTTAAATTCTTACCTCATCAAATGAAAACACTGATTTCTCATCCTCTCTCTGATTTTCTTGTTGATACTGAATACCTTCTAAATATAAAAATGGCTCCACTGCTTTGTTAGATGGATACAATACAGTCTGGTCACATCTTTTTCTGTTCTTGAAACTAACATGATCAATTTCAGATATCCTTGCATTTTCTTGTTTGGATGACCCAAAGTCTTTAGAAATATCCTGAATAGTTAGATCCTTCTCAACAGGCTCTGTTGTTTTGAAGGTTTCAGTTTTCATATAAAGATAAGCATTTTGATTATCAATTGGTACAAAATTTGCAGCTCCATCTACTGGTCTCTCAGAAGTTTTCTTATGAAATTGGTTTTCATTTTTAATCAGTCCATTATTTACTGAAAGACAGTCAACATGGACATCCCTTCCAGACTGGTTTAAGTTCTTAAAATTATTATCTACTTGAGTCTGCACTTCCAAATTATCATAAACATCTGAAATTTGTGTAACTTTTTGTTCTTCTACAATACTGAATTCTTTGGAAAAGTCTAATGCTGCCTCAGATGTTTGACAGAATCCTTCTAATACAGTAGGTGATAAAGAACCTGTGAAATACTGGCTCATTGATGTAGCTAACTGAGATGAGTGGAGCACATGCCCATTAATCATTTCTGAAACAGTCCCTGAAAGATTTACCAGTGCATTGTTATTATGCTGAGAATAACAATTAGATTGTGCTGTACTATTTTTCCAAAGACTTTCTAGGTCTATACACATTTCATAACTTTTCTTTTTCCAAATACTTTGTAGCAATCCACGATCTTCTTCACCATTATCACCTGATGTATCTTTCTTAAATAAAGTTGAAGTAAACATAAACCCTAAATTCCTATTAAGCACTGGTAAAATATTATTTTCCTGTTTTACATTAATATCTATCAGTTTCCTTTTTCTATAATCTCCTGGCTGAGGATTACATTCAAATGAATGAGAGGGTGAGATATTTTCACAACTGTGACACACAGATTTGTTTTTTGAAAAAGGATTTTTTCTTATTCTGTAACTTTCATCTAGTAGCTGTTCTTCTTTAAATTTAGCACACGTCATCACATTTTCAGATGAAATTCCTTTAAATACTGGAACTTGTGATGCACTCGTACTAACAGATTTCTCACACACCTCAACAGATGGAGTTTTTGAAATATGTTTGACATTAAATATTTCTGATCCCTCATTTAAAGATTTTTCCAGCATACTTATATCCAAAGATTTCTTTGATCCCTCTAGTACGTAGATATCTGAAGCTTGTCTGTCTACTGAGCTCTCTGATTCCATTTCTACTGAGATTTTTGAAGACTTTGTGTTAATACAGCTTTTATATTCATCAATCACTGGTATTTGTTGGACAGTTATGTCTAAAGTGTTAAGTTCACATCCAGATGCAAGAAATTGCATGGCAGATTTAGATTTTTCTGTTTCAGTTTTATTAGATACAAACTCAGTAACTCCTTCTTTCCTATCTGAATGCTGAATACTTTCTGCTAATGCATTGTTATATTTTGAATTTATGTTAGGCAGCTGTGTTTCTGCCACATGTCTACCACAAGTTTTTTCTAAATTTAAGAACTTATTTAGATCTAATTCTACAACATATCCAACATTACTATTATATAATAAATGCTGAATTTGATTTACTCCTCTATCAGTATTTTCATCAACTTTCAGACTTGAAACTTCAGTCTCTTTCTCTTCTGTACCACTGATCTTTAGAGTTGAACCATAAGTTTGCTGTTCTCCTCCTACAGAATTACAGAGTCTGAGAGATAAACTATCAACCCGTTCTATCTCTGAATTTGCAGTATCGTTGTTTGTATTTGAATACTCATTTTTCTCAAACCTAATATTATTCATACTTAAACATACAGCTTGTTCTTCCTTTTCAACAGGACTAATATTTTGCAGAAACAAATCTTCAACTTGTACTAATTGCATACCATCATCACCCTCTTTTATCAATAAAATCTCAATATCACTTAGTTTTTCATCACTTGAGTTGAACTTTGAGCAATAACTTCCAGGTAAGTTCTTCCAAAAGGCATTAGGCTTCTCATACGCGGTACTTTCACTGCTAGGAGACCCAAATGAAACTCTGGGAAAAAACTACATAAAGCAAGGTAACAATTAATAAAAAAGTGTTACTAGTACACACATTTCTACTACATGTATGGTACAAGAATATAATTTAAACTTTCTGGGAACTGAACCCAAGATCATCTGATTTACAATATAAACAAATTAATATACTCAAAATCTGCAGTGATTACAATTCCTAATTCATTAGTTAGTAATAGTGTTTTTTGTCCATAATTCTAAAAGCACTTGAGAAGGATTGTTTAGCTTAGAAGATTCAGGTTAGGCCTAAATTTACGAACTAAGCCATAAGTGAAAATCATTCAGTTGTTGAATATTTAAAACAATCAAATTACTCATTGAAAATTATTAAACATGAAAATAATGTGCACAAAATATATAAAGAATTATTTTAATAAAAATTTAATATGAAAAAATGAAGTTGTTCATGACTACCCATTTAAATACAAAGCAAAACAGTAAAAGTGAATGAAACACACAAATACATCTACCCTACTTACAACTCTTTCTTGTATTTAGCTTAGTCACTGACAACAATACTAAATCTCAAATATAAAAATTAAGTTACTGTTACATTAAACATCATGACAATATGCTATTATATATTTTTATTGCTATCATGAATTTTAACAATACATTAGACTTTCTTTTACATGTACTACTATTTGCAAACCAACAACCAGTTTAATACTAGAAATATGCTTAAACATTATCACTCTCCTAATGCAGTATAAAACTAATGTCACTGGACACTTATTATCCAGGCATATAGAAAATAAAATGTTAAATATTTTGACAAATATATTTTACAGTTTACAAATGTAATAAAAATGTTCATCTTATAATTCTTAAGAAATAAAACCTAACATAAGGGCAGATACTGATTATAAAACCAAAAGTCTAAGTATCTAGCTTTTGTAAATAATCAATTAAAATCAAAATGGTTTGTTTGCTTTAACACAAAACCACATTCGTCTATTTGTGCTTAGTTCACTATGGGGGAACTCAATCCCAGATTTTAGTAGTTTAAGTCCTTAAACTTGCAGCTAACCCATTAAGAGACAAAAAAATATAAAAATGATTAACTATTAAGAAGTGTTGTGAACAGATTGTGAATTCCTAGTTGATTTCTGTTAGAAAATGAGGTTTTGGCCTTCATACCGCCTTTCTTGTCATAGGTGGTTTACTGACCTAAGTTTAAATAATTTATTAAATTAGTTACATTACTGTTAAGTTGTATGCACTCAGACTGGCCTTCATGCACAGCATACATTATTATTTACATCAATGATGAGGTCACAACTATAACTTCAAGCCAGTCCTATTCATTATTGGTTGATTTTTTCATTATCTAGATTCACATTCTATCAGTATTTTCTTCATATGCTGTAACTAATATTTTTTTTTTTACAAATGGATTGATCTTAATATAAACTTAAGTAAAAAACTGATAAGTGAAAAATGACTCCAGGACCTAGACCTCTGGCTAACAAGGCCAGTGCTCCACTGCTGAGCTATCCAAGTGTACAAGCCATCCCCATAGGCCCTTATTTATAAAGCTTCCTACCATGATTATATAAAGCTGAGTGATTTAAAAAATTAATTAATTACCTATTAGCAGCAGTCAGTGTCACGAAAACTAATTATTAATTGAAATTATGATTAAATTGATTAATCAAAAGGGTTTCTGATTATTACTATTTTCTATTTAAACTATCAATTAATAAAAATTCAATAATTTGAATTGCCAAGAAAATAACCAACTAATTAAAATTAGCATCTCCAATTATTAGTTTTTGGTTATTTCAACATTTGATTAACCATATAACAGCCTAGGTCATATTTTCCAAACTTGTACCCAAAATAAATTTAATATTATAATATTAATTATTTCATTTGCACTACACACTTTATTTTCTCCTGTTCTTTTTGTATTCAAATTGTTTACTTATCATTTATTACAAACATCATATTTCTGGTGTAATTATCACTGTTTTTGTTTTGTATCTCTAGCTTAATGAATATGGAATTCTGAAGTCTCCACAATGTCTAACAAATGCTTCTTATAATTTCATTCATGTTTTTCTTTATTATCAAAATATGTTTTATAAAAAATGAATCAATTACCAATTATAACTATTTTCTGAAAACAAAATTTTCAACTGATTTAGCCAATGTAGTAAAATAAACTGTGTTAAACAAAACAATTTTCTATAATCTTGCTAATTTTAAGACTGTTAAATATTGAAATGATTAAGTGTGGATAAAAGTACCCTAGAAATAGTTGCATGCTGCTATTATATTCTTACAAGTTTGAAACTTAAAAACAATTTATTGAAAGTCATATATAAACTGATACTTCATCAGAATGTTTATTTGGAATAACTCTGTGGTGAATATTACAGATGCGTATCAACCATTTAAAATACCACATAACTTTTTAGTTAAAATTAACGATTCATCTCTTACTGCATGTTAAAGTAGAAGATTTATAGTATACTTGTGCTCACTGCATGTTGAAAGAGGGAGAATTTACAAATTCATTTTAAGAAACAGAATATATGTGTAAAAATCATTTAGGCATTGAACAGTGTTCCCTCTAAGCTGTGCAGCTGCATAACAACTAATCAAATGCTGTAAACTTCATTATTTCAGCCACGCACATCCTCAGTAATGATGAGGAGTCTCAACACAATGACAGCAATGACCCTGGCAGTTGAAAGGCCTAAAGTCCAAATAACCAACTGGTAGCATTGTAAAGTGACCTAATGATCCTAAAAAAACTGGTATTACACATCCACACATTGCCTTGATACTGGTCCACTTGAAAAAATTAGAAGGAACACTGGTATTGAACATTGTATTTTAATTGAAAAACCGTGTTCAATGTGGAAGGTACACTTTTGCTAAATAAATAATCTTAGTGTTTATCTTAAGAGCAATGGGAAATATCTACTTGGTGAAGCAATATATACTATAAACTGTGGTGTTTCAGTATTGTGAATATTCCTATGGAAGAAATACTGTCCTTTGTTATACTATCATAAACCCCAGGCCAAAACAGTTGCTATTCAAGTATTATAATCTTTAAGTTAGTTAAGTGACTATTTTAATCTATTTTTGAATCAGTATGTTTATAATTTAAGGTAAATAAAAGTTTACTTAACAACTATGCTTACCAACTACATATAAAAAATATAATAATAGCAAAACTTACTGAATGCTTTAAGTTCCTGTCAGGTTTCTCTTGTTTCAGTCTGACATCACTGTCTTCTTTTAAGATATACAAACAAACATATCATCCTTCAATATCTAGATTTTGAAATTAAACTATGTGCCAATACACCAAACTTCACCTGTCTCTTTTATTGTACAATAAGGTAATACACCTCTCAAAACTTTTCTATAAAGTGCTTTTTCAGTGATAAGTATTTTCCTTATGTATGACCATGTACAGTCATATCTCTACTGTAAATGCAATCATACTTAAAGGTATCACCGAACATATTGTGTAATGTTAGAAAATCCATTCACAGGTAAATATTTATTTGCAGTTTATATGAAAAGAAAGCTAGAATACCCTCAGTAAGGAAAAATGGAGCAGAAATGTTTTGAGCATAAATGAGAAATGTGACACAAAAAGGGTCAAGTCTAATGTCAATAAAAAATTACTACCTCCAGGTCTAGTAATAGACATGAAATGAGAGCAACCATAAGAATTACAAACTTCATCAGATGTCCCGTCATGACAAGGATACTGGTATGATCCATAACATGATCAAAGCATTCCCAGCATCTCTCCAAAAGAAAACAAATAGTGAAGAGAAAATGGCCTTAGAAAGTAAAATCCAAAAATCAAGAAATGGTAAATGATGCACAACATTTTTTCAGACGAAACTTAATGAGATCTACAAGACCTAATGACTTTATGAAAAAGAACAATTAGAACTCACCAAGATAACAGAAACAAAAGTTTCTATACGTGGTAATAGTAAAACAGTCTCTTCTATCTGCAGCACTTGAGTGACTGATGATTCTTCCTGCTTACCCAACACAAAAACAAACTGCCACAAAGATATAAATCATTCACAGCAAGAGCTTACATCTAACTGTATAGCAAATTAAAAAATCAAGATAACAAATGAAGAGAGTGACATGCAAGCAAAGATTTCTTGTAAACTTCAATAAATACATGAATGTTGGAATTCGACCAGAAATTCAGAAGAGCCACAAGCCACACTGCGAGGAAAATACAAAATGCACTATCCTTGTAAGACCTTCAAGAAATGAATAATCACCAAATGGCTCATTTCAAACTATATAACACCTTATCACCACAATAAGGTTCAAACCTATAAAGTATGACTGACAAAAATTAATTATTAATAGGAATGTGTTGATAAGAGAAATTGTCAATTACCAATTAAACTGCCTTTTCTTATCAGTCAATTATTTCTTTCAAGTATGTCTCTTCACCTTGTCACAACTACTTCATGGATACAACTCATAAAAAACCTTACTCAAATAGGAAAATTTCTATTCTAATCTTTTTTTCATCTCTTTCTTGTATTTGTGCTTTCAGAATCTATTGTTGATAGGCAAAGTATTAAGTCAACTTGGCCTATATAGACTAGATGAAAACATAATACCAGTACTAAAAATGTAAGCCTTTACAGTTTTTGATGCATTCTTTCAAGTATAACTAAACACAATGCTCACAATGACTATTACATAAATAATACAAAATAACTGCACTGGAGTGATCATAGATAGGTGATTGAAAACTTCAATATTATTAAGGTTTCTGTCTGATATGCTATAAAGATATGAATTCAGGCTTATGAATCTACACTCAAAACATAATACATATAAATATTGCATGTCACCCAGTGTCTCTCTTTACACACACCTTCCTGCAAAGAAAAGTACATTCAAAAACTGACCAAGATTGGATTGCCTATTAGTGGGTATATACTTAAAAAGGCACATACATTTGGTCCTAGACTAGACCACAACACTTCAGACATATTGCATATTGCTAGTTCAGATATTATTTATATTAGGAAACTGACTACGCTGATTTATGAAACTACTGATCACACTAATGTGCTTTTGCAATGGTTTTTCTGAAATGTCTTCAGCAACCAGTTGGATTGGTTGGTTGTTTGGTGCTTTATGGCGCAAAGCAACGAGGCTATCTGCGCCAAACAATCGGTAAAAACAGTAAAAGTAAATTAAAATGTAAAAATACAGCGAGTTAAAACCAATATATGTCGATAAAAGAATAAAATAGAATTAAAATGACCAATTGTTCTTAAAAAATTGAAAATACAATCAAGTTGGACAGTGTCATCATCATCAGTGACACTCTCCAACATCAGGGGTAAAATGGTGCTGCCACTCACAGTCGTAACGCTGGCAAGACAGTAAAATGTGGGCTATTGTGACTGAGTGTCACAAAGGCAACACATTGGTGGGTGAATACCAGATAAGAAAACAACGATGAGTTAAAAACTGAGACCAATGCGTAGCCTTGCCAGGACAACTTCCTCCTTCCAATCCTTACAGAAGCAAGATGGCCAAAGAGCAACAGAAGGTTTTATCTGGAAAAGCTTGTTATGACGTTGCTCACCCCAAGTAGACTGCCAACTGCCACGCCTTGAAGACAGGACCGTAGTCCATGTATGAGACAGGCACGGCCGTGATGGCACCAGAGCAGACGGACTTAGCTGCGGTGTCAGCGAGCTGGTTTCCATGAATACTGACATGGCCAGGGATCCAGAAGATAGAGAAAAATGGGCCAATTGGTAATGAATATCGTCGAGAACAGGGTGAGAACTAACATTAAGCAATTCTAGGGCCAGTAGAGAGCTAAGAGAATCAGTGTAAATAGTACAATTACTGTACTGCATAGCTTCTACGTGATCCCGGGCAAGAGAAATAACATACAACTTGGCAGTGAACACAGAAACTGTAGAGAGGATCTCGCGAGCAACTACCGAGCCAAAGCACACCATGGCAGAACCTACAGAGTCGCCCAATTTTGAACCATCCATGTAAATAGGAAGAGAAGAATGGCTCGAAAGTTGTTCAGCAAATAAGAAGACGGTACTTCCAATCGGGAGTATCTGCTTTCCTCAGATGACTCAAGGAAAGAAAGGTGATAAGCCATGGTGGAATGGGCTGATCATTGGGGACAGCAATGTCATCCAATGCCAGACCCAATTCAGCCAGTTGTGCCTGGATACAAAGGCCAAAGGGAGGAATAGCAGCCTGTCTGTTCTAAAAGAGCATTTCACACCAAGGAAGAAAGACACAATCCCAGGTGGGATGCTGTTCAGAGTCTTCTAGGCAGGATCGTTTACCGATTAGCAGAGTTTTAACATTTTTTTATTTGGATTGGGGGGATCCATAATTAAGGAGAAAGATTCAGTGCCCACTGAACCCACACGCCATGGAGTCCTACGAGGGGATGCACTACAATGTCAAACAAGGACACTGCAGCAACGCCAGGGTTTCATGAGCACTATACCCAAACACCAGCATCAGACACAATATCCACAACACCCGTTAAGAATGCCCAACACTGGTACTCAGTTGACCCTAGCCTGACAGGACCAGACAACTGACCCTGGGGGAGGGGGCACCCCAAGGCCACCCGTCTACAGGAATTAAAGGCCAAAATGGTGTGTTGCAGTACCCCAGACACCACTCAACCACCAGGATCCTCTGCTCCCCTTCACGGGTTGCCACGCACAGCAAACACGTGGGTGGATGTTTAGATCTCAGAGTAAGTAACTGAAAATACAGAACCTTCCCTGGGAGGTCCCCTCACCACGTACAGAAATCCAAGTCAAGGGGAACCAGTTAGGTATTAACATGTTCTTTAGATAAAATATATTCCTCTTATTTTTAACTCCTAATTTCCTGTTCTATTTTATTATCAAGCAACAATAAATTCCTTAAGGTAACAACCTCACAGCACTAAAGATGACCTGCTTTTGTAAAAGTACCTTAAAATACAAATTATCCACGAAAGTATCAACCCTCTTACATTTATTGTACATTCATATTATAATAGAGTTTCAATACAGTAATGTACATATATATATATATTAAACTCTTCTTTATTTTACCAGTTTGGTAGCACCACATGCTACTATTCAGTATAAAAACTAAAAAAATCAGACAACAACTACACGTTTTCGAAAAGTAATAAATTTAAGTTTAACATTTATATAAAATATACAAAAAATTCTTCAATTTAAAGATTGAAAAAACTCAACTTACAAAATAAATTATCATTTTACTAACGTTTCATATCAAAACCCAATTGAAAAGTCTTTAAATCAATATCAACATTAAAATATCTTTAATATTAATAATAAAATCATTATAATACAATAACCAAATTCCACAGACTTTTTGAAAAATACTATATTTACTTTGTCCTGAATAAACTTTATTTGGAGTCGTCCACATTACACTAAAAGTACATCTAAAATACTGCTATATTCAGTGCTAATGAAGTCAATTGTCCAATACCAGAACTCAGGACAGCCAAGATAATACGTAATACTGATTGAGATATTACTTACATTAGCCAATTACTTGACAACAACTGTTAAAGTGCAAACATAAGTTGGTGAAAGTGAATATTTTGTCAATTTATTTATGTAAAAACACACAATAATTAAGGTAGAGATTTTAACATTATTTATTTATCTAACACCATATTTTATTGATTATTATTTTCTTGAATTTACCTGCCCATTATTCAAAACAACTGGAGAATCAGGAAACTAACTTTTCTTGATCCCAGAGTGGGTCTAGAATTGGCACATTAATGGGAGAAAACATTAGTAGTAATTGCTAGTAAAACCTTATGAGTGAAAGTAAAGAGGAGTATATAAATGTTGTGGTATGCAAGCATAAGATATGTTTCCTATACAACTCCTTTAGTTCATGTATGAAATTTTTCAAAATTTCTGTGCATAGTGAACATGTGTTCTTAATATAAAAAGTTGGTCAAGGTAGTCACAGAGTTCCCAACTTCCTAGTTATCTATGAACTAAATCATTCAAATAAGGTAACTCATGCCCTTACTTAGGAGAAATATTGCTGCAACGTACAGCATACCTTATAGAAAGTGTCAGTGATCTTTTCCACTGGCAAGTTAGATAATGCCCCAAAGATATCCCTTGTATTGCAGTGAGAGTGACAATCCATAATGTAAGTAGCATCTGCATTCTGAGAAGAATATCAATATTGTTTTTCCTATATAAGACCATGTTTCCTCACTCTGGGATAAGATAAGATTATAGCTTCAAACACTGAGTTGATCTAAGTCACACTTAAGTAAAATTAACAAAATCTGCCTGTCTTATAAGTTTTGATTGTGAATAAAGATTGCTTCATTATGTCCAGTTTTTCTTTGGTTCAAACTCAGTCAGTGTAAAAGAAAACTCAGGTTTTGCTCTGCAAAACATTTTCTGGTAAACCTCCAGTTATTCTGTAGCTCCTTCTCAATTACTCTTAGGGAAATCACAGAATGAAAACATCACAATGTCAACCACGCTATATCAGCTACAATATTGCTGATTAGTGCCAAAAAATCCATTCACTCAATACCAGGGCTCATCAAGTTGGCTATAACAGACATACAATGGTTGAAATGCTATTAATATAGCAAGTGTTTTGCAACAACTGTTAAAGTTTGAACTAAATTATGTTGAAATGTAACTTTTAACAATTTTATTTATGTCACAGCACATCAGAATTAGTGTGTCAATTTTTCAATATTATATTATTTATTTATTTTAACACCATTTATTTTAATTTCTTTTCTTGAATTAACCTTTTCATTACTCAGAAAAACTGGAAATCCAGCAAGCTAGTTTACTTCATACTCAAGAGGGTCAAGTGACCACAGTGTCTATCATTAGTAATTATCAATAAGAACTTTTGAGTGAAGGCAAACAAAACTGCAATTTGATTTGTCAACTACACTATATTTGCTATATTCAGTGCCAAAGAGACCTTTTACCCACCCGATACCAAGGCTCTTCAGGCTGGTTGGAATATGACAAATAGTAATGGATGACATGGTATTTATATTAGAAAATTGCTTGACAACAACTAAGCTTGTGTGGTATATTCCAATCAAACTGATTTTCCTTAGAGCAATGGAATAGGTCTGCAGATTAACAGGAAATTCAACAAAATATTTATTATGAATTTTCTGAGTAACTGAATTTGTGTGAATGAAATAAAGAGATTGGACACAATGTAAAATACAAAATCTATCTATATTATAATGTGGAAACACAAACAGAATGTATGTACTTGTTTTGGATGATAGAATGTTGCTTGTACTGGTGAAACTGTTCTCTCCAACTAATCAGGCTGAGATCATCTACCAGACTGTTTAAATTCAATTATATCATTATTGGATATACACAGAGTGACTAGCACTACCCACTTGACTGATAATTTTCATTCAAGCTTATACAAAGACATAACTGACATAACTTCAAGATATCATGTAGCCTACCACTGAAGAACACTGCTGCCTACATTCTTGCATAATGTACATCATTACAGCCATTCCTCCTAGGTGCTGTACTTGTGTGACCTCAATAAAATGACAAGGAACAGACAAGGCAGATGGAGCAACATTTTTGGCTTCTCATCATAATAAAATCAATAGTGGCATATAAGTACATGTTAATTCAATATTATTTTGTTAAGAAATACAGTGATCTCTTCCCAAAATATTTTGTCATAGCGTACATATTCTTGCCTTGTTTATGCATAGGTTCTGCATAGAGTAGAAAAATACCATACTGCCAGTAATTCAAAGTTTCAACTTATAGTTCAAAGCACAGACAAGAAGCCACAAACTTCTGAAGAAGACTGTAATTATACAAGGAAACACAAATGGGTTGAAGAAAACATGTAACAGCAAGAAATAGTGATGTTTCATAAAGTGAAAAGGGGCATACTTTTCTCCATAAATACAAAAAAACTTTTGTCGAATGAAAAGTTAGCAAGCCTTCTTCACTAATGGCAATTTTATCCACACTTCAACTGTTAAGTATAATTTGTTGCAATTTACCAAGAATGGAAATTGTACAAGAGGATGCAGCCTTCTTTGAAATGGTCTTAATAACAGCAATTTATGAAATCTTATGCAAACAAAATTCTTATAAATGTGGAAAGTTCCAGGGAGGAAGCAAAACACAGTTCAGTATTGGCAAATTAAAGAAAACCCGAAACCAAGGTTTAATCAATCATATTAAAGTAACAAGAAGTAGCAATTTTACTTTCTTAAAATCAAAACTAACAAAAGAGATGAAAGAGTGGATTATATAGTATTTTGATCAGTACTAGCTGAAAGCATCCATTTCCATTACTAAAAGATAAAAGGCCAAAATAATACTGGTTGAACACAAATATGTGCACCTTAAAAAAACACAGATGAATGCATAACAAGAGAAATTCGAGGAGGATGCAATTTCTAAGAGTGAAAAATACAACTAGAACAAAATAATTAATTAATCCTTTGCCAGATTCATTGTTAAGAAGTAATGAAAAATTCCAGAAGATCCTCATTATGAGAATGTAGGTTTTAGAATCAAAAGCACAAACAAAGCAACATGAAGTCCAGTGTAAAATACATTCCATGATCTACAATTACAGTAAGAAGTTAAATATGGTTATTTTGCTTACTTGTAGAAGAAAATATTGAGAATAATGGAACATTTAGGAAAACAAAGGTTTTTCTACTATTATAAGAATTAATTTACAATAGATACAAAAAAGACTTAGACATATAAGCTTTTATTTTTTGTACATTTACAACAATCAAGTATTTAATTATATAATTTCTTTATCTACATTATCAAAAATACAAGATGAGCACATACAAAAATTTTTTGTTACAAGTACTAAACATTCTTTCAAAAACTGTATCAGTGGTATTAAACCTAGCAATAACTTTTTTTAAAAGATTAGAATACAATTTCATAGAAAGTTTTTGAATAAATGTAATTCATAATAAGCATGTGGGTATGACTATACCAATTGTTATGAGTTGTTACAAAGCAATCCCAATCAACTCAATTATAGAGAACATCACACATGTTTTACTGTTGCAATTTTTTATTGGAAAATGCATGAAATATAGATGTATTATTTATAAAACTAATAAGTGAAAGAAAAAAATTATACTGCCTAAATGTTATACCTACCAGTATCTCCTGGAAGGAACTGTAAGTATCCTGGTGGTGTGGCCAATGAAGATGCCCATGAAAAGTTCCCATCATTTCCTGATGTTAAAAGTAATCTGGGTGTAATACTCTTCTTGTGGGTGAAATGACTTTGGAAGATAGGATATGGTAGAATGGAAATGTGAGAAGACCAAATAAAGTTATTTATTCAACATATAACAAAGATTTTATAGATACATATAAACTACCAGTGGGTTTCACCAAGTACAAAAATAAAAAGTGTTAATCCTTCTACAATTTGCCTCAAAATGTTTGGAGGCATTTGTGATGTGTAGGTGAAAGTCAACACAAGTTCAACCTTGTATATACTGTTATGTCTCCGTTTGTTAATTGATTTTTTCCGTAACTTCGTTCCGACGAAATTTTAACGACACAAGTCTTTA